TCATGATGACAGGTGAGGCACTGACCGCATCACTTCCTTAAAATTCATCCTCATTCTTCTGTCATCTACATGTAGCTTAATGAGCACTTTTAGAATAACTACTAGAATATATATATAGAGATATATATATAGATATATAGTTATTTTATTTAATTATTAATTATTAATAAAATATTTTAATTAGATGCATAATACTTTTGGTTATATTTGGTTATAAAAACTTAAAAACTTTATAATATTGGCACTAAATGTTGCCCTAAAATAGGAAAAGTAATAGTAAAAGTAATAAAGCAGACAGATACATGGAGAAATAGGTTATTTTTTTTCAAAAATAAAATCTTCTTGACTACCCCTTGTGTATACGTTTAGTACTGCCTATGGGTGTCGGGCTTTGTTCAAGTTAACAGATTTTATTAAAAAGTAGTTAAATGTATATGTGAGCACTGTTGGACCTCAGGCAATAAAAGTCGAAATAACTACAGGAAAAAGAATTCCTTTCTGTGTCGCTACAGTGAAAGTCTGACTATGTTTTATGCTTCTGGACAAAACCCACCCTGGGATTTAAGAATCAGAATCAATAATACTTCATTGATCCCCAGGGGGACATTGTTAGTGTGCTGGCGTTACAGCTGCTCCTGGCACTACAAAAAGAGGAAGAGAAATATTCTTAAATGAAGTGGAGAGCAACTGGACAGTCTTGGTTTCTAATTCCAGAGGATTCTTCAGTTCATACAGCAGCAGGTGTAAACGTGCAGTACTCTAAAGTATTGTTGTCTGGTGGAGAACATACTGTAGGAATATATTTTCATTTCTTGCAAGAAAAGGTTTTTTTTCTCGTACAGATCAGAGCGTCTGGATCAAAGAGCCCCAAACACACGGGCCGGGTTTTATCTTTGGTCGTGACCAGGAACGGTGTTGACCAAATAACGACTACCTCGAAAAATAAGCTTAGGAAAAAGTTCACCTGTTTTTTCTGAGAATTCACGAGAAAAAAGAAGGACTTAACTAAATCTCAGTTTCTCCAAGGAAGTTAGGAAATCTTATAGATTAAATCAGATTATCAAATAGATTGATACAAAAAGTGACCAGAAGATAGTTGGGATTAAACCTGAGTCAGTCATTGGTTATAGTACTGTTTGTTCACAATTAAAATAGTTGATATTAAATATAATAATAACTCTAATAGAATAGTCAATAAAAGAAAAAAATACAATATTTTCTACAGAGTTTCCTAATTCTGTAATGTTTTTAAAGCTAACCTAGAGTACGTGTCTGAATATTAAACAATTTAGTTTTACCAAAACCTCTCTTCCTCACCCGCTGTCAGGCACAAACATTCAGAGCTGGAGAGGAAACATTCATCTCAGTTAATGTTCTCGTGGAACTCTACCTTATCCTAATTATCTCAATCTCAGACTAGCACAATTTACTTGTTTAATCAACTCCTGTGCTTTGTTTAATTAGCTGGTTATGTGCACAGAGAGAGAGAGAGAGAGAGAGAGAGAGAGAGAGAGGTGGCCATGCACGTACATGTCTTTGCCTGAGGACAGAGGGAATTAGAAAGAAAATTACCAAACCACTGTGAGACATGCACTCAATGCACAATAACTGGCGATATATAGAGGAACGCATGGAAAAAAAACACCAATTCAAGGTAAAACCAAAACTGCTCAACAGCCAGGAACGTGCACTAAAGTCAAACTGCTCGACGCTGAGACACCGTTTGTTTGTTGTTGCCACTTCTGTGGGTTTCTCTTATCTGTTTGTGTTGTTGTTTATCTTGACCTGTAGGTGGCGTGGTCTCTGAGAGCTCTATGATTTCACACATGTTCAGAGATGTGGCAGACAAAGGTTAATTGTATCTCAACTTTTTTCAAGTAGAAATGTTTTCGGCTCTCTTGTTTGCTTGTTTGGACGGATTAAGCCAAAGGAAAGAGGAGATCATGCACTCGTGTTGGAGACGGTCCAAAGCCGACTGCAGTCCACCATTACCACAGCCACTATCATAATTACTCTGTCCTTCAGAAACCAATTTTTTACACCTGGACTTTTGCCAAAACCACTGAGTCTCCATTTATCATCATTACAAGAAAGGACAAAATCAGCACTGTTTAACACTGGTGCACCTTCCTGCTACAAATTAATGTTGCACCCAATATAAATTAAGCAAATACTTATATGTGCAGTACATGAGGTAATTAGTAAGGTTACACACTGACTTTGCAGTTACTGTTGATCACATTCCTGTTCACACATCGAGACACCTGTTCGACCAATGAGGCTTACATGATTTATTTGTAAAGAGCTTAAATAATGTCCACAGTGAGGTAGTGGTGAAGTGTTCTCAGTGGTGTGGCCAGGGTTCGATTCCCAGCTACAGGATCTAACCAGCAATCAAAGGACTGCAGGTGCAAAACCAGGAGTGTTGTGTTGTGTTGAGCAAGTTCCAAAACCCCCGTCTCCCCAGGCAGGGTAAAAGTGCAGGGTGTTTACACTTGAGTCAAATGTAGAGAAGGTGTTCAGTTGTGAGCAGCAATATTGACAAAAACAGCTTCTTCTTCTTCTTCTTCTTTTTCTAAAACTGATGTAAAATATAAATAAATTGATGTTCTCTGAGCTCTGTGCGTTTCACTGGAACAAACAGCGTTCTCCTCACACAGAGAGACAGAACCAGTGTGTAATCTTTATTAATCCATACTTTACATCATGATGTTCCGTGTTTCTGATTCAGTCCTGATTGGTGTAAAATACTGCATGACTCAGGGTCAAGTACTCCTGTCCTGTCCTTCACTACAGCAGACCGTCTTCCTCACCTCCCAGTTCAGCTGTCTCTCCAGCCAAGACGGTGTCAAACGAGGCCGTGCTGATCAATTCCCCCCAGTAACTGGACCAATATCAAACCCATTGATTAAGAACAAGGATCTGGTCAGTGTAAGGTGATCAACCTCTCACAACAGCTCTCTGCCACATCGATTCTTTTGTTCTTGGCACTGCTCTCCTGGTAAATAAATAGATGTTGTTGAAATAAAACACAGTGGACGTCAGTAACTTCTGTCTGAGCTTTAAAGTCATATTTATATTTTTCCTGCCTCCTTGGAGAAACAATAAGATCATGTTTGGACTCTACATCTAATGTAATGTCCTGAATTATATTTTATGAACCATTTAAATAAATAATAAATAAAAATAAAGTCTGTAATTTCAGTCTCTACAAACAACAACAAAACCTACCTAGGTCGACTATCACTTGAAATACAATAAGGAATAACATTTCCCTGGACCTTGTTAACTGAACACAGAATTGACCTTTTTGGAACGCAGGTATGATTAATCAATAAACATTACAGAAGTTAGCAATAGCTACAGCTAACCTGCCTGTTAGCACTAGCTTCAAATCTGTACGTGAATGCGCTACGTAAAATGATTGTTTATTCACACACGAACAATACGCCGAGCACAGCAGATAAAAGGTTATGTGTGTGAATTAGAATTCCTCATGATGTCGTAATAATGATATGAATTATTATTGTTTTTCTTGTGTGGCAGGTGATTGCATTAAATATGTTTATGTCACCTCTGCACACTCTTTGTTCTCTGCAGTAACAAATGTCAGGTTTTATTGCTCCCACTTTTCTTTCCCTGCTAATATAACCGTGCCCTCTGAGAATCCTCCTTCCTGTTCTTCACTAAAACTGCACGGACTTTCTTTTTGGAGCATTTGTTTTCTCTTTCTTTTTCCTCTCTACAATTTCTGCCCTTCTGGAGGCTGAAGGACACACTGTGCTGTGTGACCAGTGTTGTCAAATCCTCACAAAGACAAAACCTTGACATCCTCTGGCAACAACTGCCTCGGAAAGTGTGTTGAATCTTTAATAAGGAGCCTTAAACTCCGCTCCCACTGTGGTTTGCTCATGTATTGCAGAAGACCAGATGCAGAATTATTAAGGTTATGTCATAATGTTTAAGCTCAACTGATTTATTCCCTTCAGTAAAGACTGAATTTGAATGTTTTTACATTAAAAGTGTGAATCAGATCATTAGCAGAAAAGGTTTTAATGCATCGTCTCAGTGTTAGTCGTATAAGTGTTCAGGAATAAAAGCTTTTTTTCTGAGGCCTCAAAGTTCTCCATTAGAAAGTGAAATACTGAGGTGAAGAGGTTGATAGTTAGATACGAATAAAACAGAGAAAAATAATTTTCAACATTTAACACAAATATATAAATGCAGTTGGCTGATAAAATAAATAACTAAATAAATAAACCCCTTCATCTTCTTGTCTTTATTCCTCCGTCTGTATCTGTTCCTGATGACTCAGGGGATTTAAATGACACAAACAGATCTCAGGCAGTTCTGAGTAAATGCACCTGGAGAGGCAAAGAGCCTGATACCACAACATACAGATGTGAATAATAAAGTAAACATCTGTAAGTGATCGTCCAAGTACTTCTTTTTCCTGCTGCAGATCTAACAAACAATACCTGCAGTACTTCCTGCCACGGATCATTATGTGTTTTTAAATGCACTGTTGAGCCTGCGAGCTCTAAAAGCTGGCACCCGGTTGAATTAATATAGTGGAACTGATCACTGAAACAGTAGTCAGTTTTATAACCACCTGAATCCAGTGTCTAAGGCTCGGAGTGAGGTCTGAAACGCAGCTCTGTGGCTCAGTAATGAGATAAAAGGCTCTGATGACCGCATTAAAGAAGAGAGACTCAGGCAAAATGTAATATGATGGAAACTGGAAAAGTAAATGGTGGCACAGAAATAATCAGTGTGTGTGTGTGTGTGTGTGTGTGTTATCTCTGCCTTTAATATAAGCCAGCATCACTGTGGGTGATATTAGATTTGTCTAAAATACAATAGATTTAATCCCTTTACTTCACGTGGCAGATCTGATTACTAATAATTGATTGCAGGTTTTAGAACCAAAATAAAAGACTGTTTTTTTTTTTTTTGTTTCTTTAAAT